TTCCCTTATGTGGAAAGGGATAGCAGCAATATTTCTAGGAGATGAATAACGAAGGAAAATCACAGTTAGAATTATTCGCTTCAAGAAACTTTCCTATTTTCTTTCCAGAGGAATTCTTCAGTTTCCAAGCTTACATGAGGAGAGAGGTTTCCACTGTTGCAGTGTTCTTTGGTCCTAACAACTTGACGTCTATGCTTTTATTCCAGACAGCACCTTTACAGCTAAACTCTCGATGACTTAAGGTATTAGATATCTTCACAACTGAAATAACCGTTTTCCTGGAAAATTCAGAATTTAATTAGTTGTCGCCAGTGATTTTCATATCGTTGTGTACATTTGTGCTAGTGCTAGTTTTTTCGGCTAACTTTACGTTTGACCTTTTACTGATTTTTAAGTTTGCTTTGTACCAATACGTTTGTTTAGCAGCGACCGCTCATACTACTGAGCCTCTAGGAAGCCTGGTACTGATCATCAGGAAACAGCAGCTCGAGAGACTACAAAATTCTCATTCCACTTTGCAGCTTCAGTTGAACATGTAACCTAAAAGATACTGAAAGCATCCTAGCTAAATCATTCAACTGACACAAGATATTTGGCATACTCAGGATGTTTTTATCCCAGTTCTTCGAATGTGGTCACAGTGTTCTCCTTTGAACTACAGTAACTTGAAAAATAAGTATTTTTTCTATTAGTATATTTTTTTAAACCATGTTTTATCCTTAGGCACCGAACTGGTGAATGAAGATGTACTACAACAAACAAAATGAAACATTATTCTCTCCCTGCATTCCGACTAAAAGTGACTTAAGCGTTCTATTTCTATTCTATTCAAGTGTAAAACTCATAATTTTCTCCTGATCTGACAAAAAACGGTTTCCCAAACAAGGTGTATACTACAAATACTGTTAATATGAAATGATACTTCTGGTTACTGATGAATTGTTTTTCTAAGCACACATAACTGATCATGACACTAAATTTCTAAAACATACCTCACAATCAAGTTACTCTGTATTTTTATACATGGAGTTTACTTTCGTCGCGAATATTTGATTATCATGACACTACTAATAAGGTAAAAATTTTTAAGGCAAACAGAATATGAACTAATTAAAATTTTATCTTTATTGTGATAAAACACGTGCTTCGACAAAATATTTCCCACAAATAAGAAGTATCATAGATATGCAGTCAGGTATATGAAACTAAGCTATTACTATAAAGTGCCTCGGAATATGATATTGAATATAACCATTACAGTGTTTAGTCTTTAAACAACTAAAAAATAAGAGTAAAAATTGAGTTGCATATTAGTGATTTCAATAAGTCTCTGCATTTCCCTCTGACTATTCAGCCAAGGCTCACTGATATGATACACTTTGAGGAGCTTTCTTCAGTTTCTGCAGTGTGTAGTAAGATTCTAATAAACAACTGTACAACTAGTAAATTTCATGAAAGTAGAGGTGATTCCACCTTGTTTCATTTGTGTTCTTATAGAGAAAGTCAAAACTGAAAAAGATAGATAAAATCATTTTTCGTGAAACTATGAAAGCGAGATCTTCAATACAAACGTCAAGTCAGTCAGTTCTTCTATACGTATCATGAACTTGGCGAACGGGTCACAAAGAATATTTCCAACAGGCTGTTGCAGACCTTTATCAACAACTGTGTTCGCTCTATACTGAAGATCAGATGGCCGGAGAGAATCAATGATAACAAACAAAACAAGAACCAATCGCCAACGAAGAAATATGCAGGAGAAAGTGGAGATGGATTGGACACTCACTAAGGAGGCCGCTGGGTGACATCGCGCATCAGGCCATTGCTCGAGTGGAACTAGGCCGAAAGGGAAGCGGCGAATGGGACGTCAGTGCGAGGGTGACATGGAGGAGGTCGTGTGAAGAGGAGTTGAAACACAGTATGGACTAACATGGATGCAGGTGAAAAGTATAGCAGAAGACAGAAGCAAGTGGAGACGTGCAGTTGAAGCCCTATGTTCCACTAGAAACCCAAGGGAACAATAATAATAATAATTAAAGCCAGACTTCTTTCTTAACCGATAGGATAGGGAGGCAGTAGCTGAATTTGAATCTGTCTCTCTTTTCCGGGTTGTTTAAAAGATTCGGTAGCTTAGTTTTTTAAACTCAACTTCTAGCCGATCAGCATTTATTTCTATGGGTTTTTTCTACAAAATATCAAATCTTGTAACACTTTCTACTCAGCGTTAATAGGTAAATTTAGGATATTTTTCCTTCTTTAAGGTTTCTAGACAAAGCGCTACTCATACATAGTATTCATAATCTGTATAATCACGGTTAAGTTGAGATAAACATAAATTTCGCCTCGAAAAAAAAACAGTATCAAATGTTATGAAGGTAACCGGAATAAATAAATAAAATCAACATGAAAACAATCGGAGTCTACCTAGAGCACTATGCTGACGCATTTCACTAGAACCTAAGCGATTATGATGTTTTCTCAACCTTAATCAGAAAAATACAGATTGTTTTTCTTACATCTAATCTAAACATTTCTTAAGGCAATACAGTGAGAAAGAAAGGCAGAAAAGATTGCAATTATAATTAGCATTATCAATTAACTTTTTGCGTCTAATTTATGCGAAATTCATCAGGGAAATGTACACAAAACAGACTATAGAAAAAAAAAGGTGTCTGACTTCTAAGAAATCCTAATCTTACTTAGTTCATTTATGTATATATTTTTCCACTTAAAAAGAAACGAAACAAATGATGATCAACTTATTCAAATTAGTTAAATACAGAGAAATTTTGATGTTCTGTGTAGATTTCTTTTTTAAATAGTTTAAACGTTATAGTGAAGATTCATCAACAACAACAAAATAGGAAAGAAACGATTTTTCTCCAAATATCTACAAAAATGAGCTATCTTTAATGCTGTAAACCTTCTGCTCATACTTGTTTCTGTTAATTTTGCATACTTTTACTATAGTGAAAAGTAGTTTCATTGTATTTTCCTGGAATTAAACTCCCGGATCTGCTACAATATCCTATGGCCTAATTAAAAAAAATCTGCTTTAGTTGGCGACCATTACAATCAGTGAATGTTTGACAGATATCAGCTAGCTGACATTGGCTTCTAATCGAACAGTATAAAAACAGAAAGAAACGGCCATTTTTTTTGTCACATATCCATATCTTGTTTTGGTAATTGTCAGGATTCAGGTACGTCTTTGATATAGCTAACTGTTTAGTATTCATTTTGATTTCTTCAAAAGAACAAGTGTCACTTAAATTCTAGAATAAACTATTTTGACAGCACTCAGCAGATAAATGTACGGTCGTGTGCTGAATTCAGAAGTAATGACGAAAAAAAAAATCAGAACTGAACTGTCTTAAGCGAGAATACCCAGTTACTACATGAATTGTTCTGTAGTAACAGTGAAACAGGGTCAGAAGCAGAGTCCCATAACCAATGTTATATTACTGTTTAGAGGTGCTATGGAGATCTGAAGCAGAACTTAGGATATTATTAAGACAATCTTGAAGGCATTTCTCTATAAAATAGTAAGTCTAGTCAAGCTTGATCGACGTAGACCGAAATGTTCAGCCCCTGTTGTCAAGTTGACTCCGAGTACGAAAGCTTTCACGACGTGTCTGAGGATAAACTAAAGTAATCATTATGGTTGTAAATATTCACTGGCGCTGGAACCCAGGATATGCATTTCTTCTTTTTTTTTGACTCGATGGCTAGATCTACCTGCAATCAACAGTGGGTGATGGTGTTTTCACTCAAATCTGAATCCAGCATCCTTTGTTCCAAACGCCACAGTGTTATCCACCTGACAAATCTGGCTACGAGAGTCTCCTGTTGTGCAATGGGTATCAGTTATTGTTTTTTTTTCAAGTCAATTTTGATTTTCCTTTTGATTAATTGGATAGAAATATCTGATCTCTGTTGTCATGTTGTAGTACATCCGGCTAACAAGTCTCAAATAGGGTGGAATGCGCATTCTGAATCCCATCCACTGCTAGTTACCATTCACCAAATTAATACGAATATATGTGTCTGTTTCTGACTCATAGTAAATTAGCTGTAGGTAGTAAATATTTAAAAGTCATATCCAGTATTCTTTGAAACATAAAAACTTGGTTCTATCAACTCGCTTATTATATAAATAGGCCAACCTTATACAGCCACAGCAACAACAACAGACAACAATCAGCATAAACGGGAGAGATCTGAAAGAAGCAACCTCCTTTACCTACCCATCTACCTGGGAAGCATCGTTTCAACTACAAGCGGACGGAACTGACAAGGGTATCAAAGCGACGAGGATCGGGAAAGCAAGACAAGCTTTCATTACTCTGAAGTCTGTGTGGAGGTCAACAGCACTCAGCATCAAAAATAAGATCCGGATTTTCAACTTCAATGTGAATACAGTCAGTGCTACTGACTATACGGATCAGAGACTTGCATTGTGCGTCATAAAGAGCATCTCAAACAAACTACAGACCTTCATTAACAGTTGTCTTCGCTCAATATTTAAGGTCAGATGACTGGAAAAGATCAGCAACAAGGATCTCTGGCAATGAGCAAACCAACACAGCAGGAACCGATTGTGAAACAAATAGGCAGTAAGAAATGGAGATGGATTGGCTGGCCATACGCTGAGGAAACCATCAAGTGACATTACTAGACAAGCCATCGCTCGAGTGGAACCCGAAATGGAAGCGGCGAGTTGGTCATCCAAGGGTGACTTTGAAGAGGTCATGTGAAGAGAAAATGAGAGAATATGGGCAGACTTGGAGCCAGGTGAAAACGTTGGCAGAGTACCAAATGCAATGGAGATGCGCGGCTGAATCCCTATGTTCCTCTAGGAATTAAAGAATATAATAATGAATAATATACAGTAATTATAGAAACATTTAAGTGATCCAGTCATCCCTTAATGTATGCAGTCAATGATTCAAAATTACGCAGCAAAATTACATCACTTCATTTATTCTAATTTAACTTACCTAATAATAGAATAAGATAGAGAAATATCCACATTGAAGAGAAGGATAAGGAAACCATGTTTTTCTGTCTTGCATTCATGCGTCTTTCATTTATTTTTCATGTGACTGTTAAAATATACAGTTGTTTTTTTTCTTAAAATAATCCCTAATCTCCGACTTTTTCTTCTTTTACTCTAAATAAATGATAAAAGATGAGATTTGCTTTTTTTTCTTTCTTTTCTGTTACTATTTCTTCAGCTGAAAAAAGGAAAGATGCATCCAATTTGTTAACAGCATCACAGTAACGAGGCTAGAACACGTGTTGATGTAGATATTGACATGAAAACACGGCATTATTTCAGCTTGAGGATAGATTAGCATATCGGAGTAAAAAAAATATAGATATTATGTGTATACTGATGAAAGCATATACTGTGAATTGAAGAAATTGAAGCAATCAACAGAGAGATATATCTTCTGTTATTATCTTATTAAACATACAATACAATCTGCTTATATTGACAATATTATTTTGATGCGCATGCAACATAATCTTCTGTGTGTAGAATATACACTTTGGAAGATAATAATGATGATAAATATTCGCTTTGAATGTTGTAATACAATGTAAGGTTATATATATAATTAGTATCTTCCAGATTTGTGAAACCAATTGTGTTTTGTATTATTTCTCAGTTATTTAGCCTTATTCTTCTTTCTAACGTTTTGTTTCATTTGAATTTCTGTAAAATGTCAACCATACTAGCAATGAAGTATAATAAAGAAGTTGTGTTTACCTAGATAGAGTATATTATTCTCTGCACCCTGGAATAAGGTGTAAGTTAGTGGGTTACACAAATACATAGGCACAAATGCACAAAGAAAATAAGGAAATAATAATAATAACTCCCTTATTTTAAAAGGTTTTCACTTCACACAATCTGTGATTGGTTGAATGACAAAAGGAAGTGTACACAAACTTAAGGTGTACAATTAAGTTAGTCGTTGTGACAAGTATAGTTCAGATATGCATAGTGAATTATTTTTTCTAGTTATAAAAAACAGAAGAAGCTGTCTGAACTTCAAAATTAATGATAAATCTTAAGAAAAATCGAATTGTTTTTTAATTATTTACTTATGAAAAACTTTCGCTGTCTTCAGCTGTGGAGGGAAAAATATGTGAAAATGAACATATTTGTGTAAGAGTACGAAAGCTGTCAAATAGTCTTTTAAATATGCATGGTATGAAAATGTTCCATAGAATTGGTTACCAAGCTGTTAAACTTAATTTCAGTAGTAAATATATGCAGCCTGAATTAACAATGTATTATTATTATTGTTATTGAGTTCGGAGTGGAACATAGGACTTCAACAAGGCTCCACTTTCTTCTATTTTCTGCCGTCCTCTTCAGCTTGGTCTACGATTGACCATAATCTCTCATCGCCTACTTCAACTCACACGGTCTCCTCCATCTCACCCTTGCACTGATGACCTACTCGTCGCTTCCCATTGGGATTCCAGTAAAGCGATGGCCAGCATCGCGCACGACGTCATTCAACGGCATCCATCTACATTTTCTTCTACATATTTGCTGAGCGATCGACTCTTGGTTCGTTTGCTGCCAGCCAGAGTCTCTTGTTACTAATTCTTTCTGGCCAGCCGTTTGATCTTCAGTATGGAGCCAGCCAGCCAGCCAAAATAGGCAGCTGTTAATGAAAGCTTGCAACCTGTTGGAAACCATTTTCGTGACACACTGGCCAAGTTTCTAATTCACACAGAAAGACCGACTTGACATTTGTGTTGAAAATCCTAATCTTGTTGTTTATGCTGAGGCCGAGTGCAGTGCAGAAGACTTCCAAACTGGTTTCACACTGGTGAAGGCATATCTTGCCTCTCCAATTCTGGCTGTCTGACTTTGACATCTTCATCTGTTCCACTGGACTGTGGTTGGAATGATGCTTCCCACCCGGATCTCACTCTTTGATGGGGATTGGTGCTGGTTGGTGTTGTTGCTGTTGTTGTTGGTGGTTGGTTATCTTCATCACCTCCCTCTTCTCTATGTTCACCTGAAGTCCTTTATTCGCTGCCAACCTCTTCACCCAGTTTGTTGGTTTTCACCTGTCTGTAAGTCTTTGAGGTTCTGTGATAGTAGACACAAATCATCTGTGAAATCCAGATCTTCTAGAGTCTTCCCATCGTTTGTTAAACGTATTTTTGTCTTCTCACTCCCAACGCACAGTCTGACGCATAATCCGGTCCACCACAATCAAGAATATCATTGGTAATAATAGACAACCCTGTATTTCTCCTGTACCCACTTCAAACGCCTCGCTGAGTTTTCCATTGTAGATCACCTGATGCGTGGCATTGTCATAACGCTTCCTGTTGAATTGGGTTGATGAAGACGTATTATCAGATGATTATATCTTTTTTGTGAATTCCTTTCTCATAAAATACAAATACTGAGGCTTATATACTATCAGAGTACATAATGAATGCAGGTTTACCTCCATGATAACTAAATGATAATCAAACAACCCGCTGTTTTCATATCTGAAACTCATTAGCGGTTAGGCTGAACTATCTCTGTTTACTCTTCAAGTATGTATTTGCTCATTCTAGCTAAGTATATAATTTGAGACTTCGTAAAATATTTAAATTGGTTGTTTAATACACTGTTATATGTTCATTCTATTTGCATGTGGTATTTTATATTTTTAGAATTAATTTCTCAAAATTTAAGATACAGACTACCTCATCTCTAGAAAGGTTCATAAGTAAATTCTCCTTTATCTTTATGTAGTAAAGTAAGAGGAGCTTTCAGTCTTTTATTATTTATAATAAAAATACCACACTTTCTTCAATTACGTACTGTATATGTTTTTTATAATTTCCGCATAAAAATGATGTTGAATGACATTTTCGTTTCAACAAACAAATTATGGAATCTACCTAAATATTTCATACATATATGCATTCGATGGCTGCCTAGCAGAGTACAATTTACCTGGCGTTGGAAGATGATCGTTATGTAATAAAATGAACAATTTAAAACCTTTAATGCTATTAGTCACTGAAAATTGACAGTAAAGTATATGACAATAATTTGCTCAAATTTCATTATATTACCTCTTTTAAAACTGCTTGATTTTCATCAAATCATTTCAGGATCTATATGTCGGTCAATATTTAGACATTTGGTTAGTCAAGTTACGGTTATATCCACTGCTACTACTCTCCCTACTCAAGTAGCAGTATTGGTGCATGGATTAAAAACCACTTGTGCATTTATTTACTGAGTCAAGTTAGATTTAAATATTGTCTGAGAACTGCTAATAAGTCAATATTTCAAATGCCGTCACCACATAAATTTTTAAACCTCGAGTAAATTCTAAATTTCCAAGAAATTTCTGTTTTAAAAGCCTCTCAAACGACAATAAACTAAGATATTTTGTTAAAAATCATTTGGCTGGAAATGATAAACACTAACTTTATGAAGACAAGTCACTGTAGGGATTATTTTTTTCATTTTAAATCACTATATATATATATATCAAAGAACCACTGAAAACAAGGGAGCTCTGGACAGCCGCTTCTTCCTAGTGCTTGGGACACATCGGCTGTACGCACACGTTGGGGCTCGAACCTAGGACTTTTAGCCTAGACGGAAGGCTGGTAGACCATTCAGCCGATGGGTCATAACTTAATAGCCCGTGAATACCAGTCTCTACCAATTCGTTGTTTTATCGCGCCCACCAGCCAATTTCATCAGCTAGCATTTCCCCTCAATCCTAACCGGATGCACTACTGTGGTTACGACCTCCCTCTAGGACTCAAGATAACTTCCTCCTGTAACCAGTAACTAACGAGAATCAGATTAATTTTCAGGTGTTAGTCTGTAAGGATTTGATTTGTTTCAAATTTTCCCGTGGAACGATACCGGTTAGAGAGTCAGCAGTCCAGTACTCTGTGGCTCTAATGGCTCTCTAAATGATGTCAATCCATGGTCAGACGTGCAACAGACTGAATCTCTACAAATTAACATTTGAAAGTGTTTTCCATTTGGCTTTGATGAGCTTTACTAAAAATGAAATTGCATACACACAAAACAACAGGGATACGGAAGGAAAATAAAATTTGTATCCATCTTTTGTCTGAGATTTCAATAAGGAAACGATCCTCAACATTTATTCAAACTATAAATGATGTAAATAAATTATTTCATCGATTAAAATGATTTCTGGATCGGTAAATGTTTCAATAAAACATATTAGCACAACTTGGTGTGAAATTAAACAAGATCCCTCAGTGCATTGATCACTTTGCAAATGGAAGTAATAAGGAGTATAAGAAATCTGTAAGTAATACGCAACAGAAACCAGGACATTCAATCTAACCTTCATGGTGAGAAAGTAGTTGATTACCCTAATATTATTATGCAGTTCATTCATATCCTTCCTAGGTGATTTATGTCATACCCATGAAAATATTTGGTCGCTTGATATTTATTGATAGTCAAACGATGACGACATGGCGAAAAAAATTTCTCCTTTTTGTTCGGTATTTGGTTAAAAGAGAAATGAAAACTATACTTTTCCAGAAGGTCTGAATACCTTTTCGATTCCATTACGATTCAAACTGCATTTCTCCTATTTGGTTGTCATTGCTTCCCAGTAATGTCTAAAATAGATTAATGACATTATTCATAGATAAGAGATTTTATCCAGAAATAATACTTTTTTTAATAAATATAATGGGTAAATGAGAAGAATATTTAGACATTCCAACGGAATTTCATTATTCGAATAGGAAGATAAGTCAACCATAAAAACTAATTTTCGAATGAAGTGATGTAACAGGATCATGTAATTTTAGTGAATCCAAATGCACTTTAGTCAATGCCCTAGGATTGCTAGTTTGTATCGGCATAAATATTGTTGGGTAGTCGCAAAAATTGAGGATAAATATCTGCCATGTGAATTTTCATCGGGAAAATGCCTTGATAACTGCCCACTTTCAGTATGTTAAATTATAAAGACTGATAAGCTTCAGACTACACAACTTCATTTATATCTGTAATATTGTCTCCTTCATCGTCAAAAGAAAAAAATCTTTATAGTTACATACAGCAGTTGCTGACTGGAACACCACTGAAACTTTGAAAAATGAGATTTTCCGCCTGTTGGTACTTCTGTACTCATTTTAATATTTTGATGTGGTTTTGTTCTCTGAGCTGGGTGGTTAGTTTGCGAAGCTTTCATCACCTTACTGGGTGACATCTTCAGCGCATACTTCAACCACCCAGCTCAGAGAACAAAACCACATCAAAATCATCCACCTGAGCTACAAATCTTCTCTATAATATCATTTTAATATGCTTGATTGTTTCACGATTTCATCATGAACTGACATCAATTATAGGACCGTTTGATAGTAGTACTGGACAGCTGTTTTATCAGCCCAGTTTAGGACTCTTCATCAGTACGCACACACCGTCAGGATTCAAAATCAGGACCTCCTGGTTACAAGCCGAGCTCTTAGACCATTTAGCCACTGAGACCCGATCCAGTGGCCAGTCCATAAATTACAGCTTCTGCCAAGTCATGATTTGGCGCGACCACTAGCGAATGTCGTCGGCGAGTATTTATCCTCACACTCGACCTACTGTACCTCCTGGTCATGACTTTCCACTAGAACTAAGGTAACTACCTACCTGCTTCACCGTTTTAATAACGCTTCTGAATGAAACACTGGCTCATAAAACTCCTAAATTTCATTTGCTTGTATTCACAAGACGATACATAAACCTTTCTT